ACAGTCAAACCCGACTGATATGATCGGAGTCTGATATGGTATGTTGGGGTCTGATATGGGGGGCCTGATATGGTAGGCCACGTTCCAACTCTAATAGCGGTTGCGAGCCGCTTCTTCAATAAACAGCGCGTCGTCACGTGACATAGCAATCACTTTTCTGGTGGTCGAGTCGTGTCAGATTCCTACAAGCAAGCTTACCTCTTGAGGACTAGGAAGATATTGACTGTAGACCCTCACAGTTCCCGATTCCTAGTAAGTTTTCATACATCTTATTCTAATTGCGTGATCGAAGAAGAGGTCACTATATCAATATAAACAGTCAAGATACAGACTGTTGTTTCATCTTGATCTGAAACTCAGGTTAACACTGGTGGTCTAAGCTCTCCATTGAGTTCTCTTCCTTTGCGTACCCGAGGTCGAAACCTCGCCAGAATCGCTTCAGATCCGCTTGAGAAGCTGGCAGAAAACATTCAATACAACAAAGTATCGAGGTGAGCTGACCTTATTTAAGAAACGGTATTAAATTTTAGCTTTAAAACCAAACCGTTGCGTTTCTATACCAACCTATTCAAACCGTTGGAGTCACGTTTGTCGTTCTCATAAATCGAGCTTGGGCCGCGTGTGTAACAAGCAGTGTACTTCTGTAGCTGAAATTCAAATCATCCGACCAATTCGATTCACATATTGAATACTTCATTAAACACGCGGCGCTGGGCGGTAGCAATTTTCCGCATACCTTACTTGTACGATGTTGAAATACACGCTTTAAATCTCAATTTTCAGTACATCTTAACGCTTCAAAGACAAACTGAAACAATCGATATAAGTACGGTTATGCACGCTTCGCATAAACCTGATACAAGGCTTTAATACACATTCAGAGAGATGCTGAGTCATAGACGTTTACAATTGAAATAATCCTCGGTTAATGCTAATATATTACCGTCTACATAAACTACAATAACCACCACAGTTTTGGGAGTTGAGGCAGAATAGTTTACACAGAAGGTTTTTGGTGACCAGTATTCCCTAGATATGTGTAAAAGAAGTCCCTAATTCGGTTACCTTCTAAAGATATTGGAACTCAAGCTACGTGACAGAAAAGAGCTACACTCGATAGCTTTTGAATGTCACTCCTCAGAGACTTCAACCGTAAAGCTTTCCGGGAACGAATACTCTGAATGCAAAAGGTCAAACCACAGCCTTTGTTCGAGCAAACATTGTCTGAAGCCCAATGGCTGCTGCTGTGTCACATAAGTGAGTTATTACTTTTCAGACAACCCAGTCATTTAACTAAGAAGTTCGATCATCAAACCAAATTTGCAAAAAACCACGAGCGCGAAATAAGTTTTTCAAGTTCAAAAGAAGCCATGAACGCAACGCGCAATTTATTTTGAAAACATAATAGATCGGTGTCAGCCAATCGGCTTTGTGGTTGAACAATATGTCCAAAAACAACTTACTTCAAATAATAGAGAGCGCCATAAATTAAATATTCGATCTTTATAAACGAGAAAACTGAATGTGCTCTCTTTTGAAAGAGTATCTTATGCTTTTGGTCGTCATCACTTTATACTTTCTTTGTGTGCTTGAGGTGTTTATTATTCGTAGTAGGGTAGAATTACTGACTTCAAATTCAGGAGCGACGCGCGCGAAGCGGCCAGTATATGTTTACTCAATTCCAAACGAGAAAGCGAGGAAGCGTTGCCCTCCAAAAACCTTTTCCGTCACTAGTCGCTGCTGGCATAAGAAAGAGGGGTAAAACATTAGGAAGAATGGAAAATTCTAGGCTCTTAAACCGAAAGGCAACGATTTTATGGCGGTTTGAAAACGCAAAATTACAAGGATTTGCATATATAGGAAGCCACGGGACGTGTCTAGAGAGTAAAGCGTCACCTTCCCTTACAAATGAATCCCTGTAATTTCTAACCAGTCTAACGTTCGCAAAAAGTCCCTCTTAAAGGATATAAACCTGAAACTTTGCATGTAAGCTTATTTGAAATGTTCTAAATCTTTCCATTTTTGATGACATATGCATTTCCAGTGACTAAATCATTGTGTTCTTGAAAACAAGTCATGTGACCCATTGTTGCAAAAGGCCTTTCCTAATTGTGCTGCTTGAAGTCTAAACAGGGACATCATTTTTTCTGTTAAAACTAGTCTTGTTCTTCTCGCGAAGTTCTTCGATTATAGCCGTGGCCATGTCGTAGCTTTTATTGTTGTTCTTGATCTTCGTGTTCTTATTTTAGCTGTTCTTAATCTTCTTCTCCTCGGTCTTGTTGTTGTTGTTGTTTTTCCACTTGTTTTAGTTCTCTTTCTTGTTGCGTCGCGTTCCATAAAGANACATAATAGATCGGTGTCAGCCAATCGGCTTTGTGGTTGAGCAATATGTCCAAAAACAACTTACTTCAAATAATAGAGAGCGCTATAAATTAAATAGTCGATCTTTATAAACGAGAAAACTGAATGTACTCTCTTTTGAAAGAGTATCTTATGCTTTTGGTCGTCATCACTTTATACTTTCTTTCCGTGCTTGAAGTGTTTATTATTCGTAATAGGGTAGAATTACTAGTACTGACTTCAAATTCAGGAGCGACGAGCGCGAAGCGCCAGGATATGTTTACTCAATTCCAAACGAGAAAGCGAGGAAGCGTTGCCCTCCAAAAACCTTTTCCGTTACTAGTCGCTGCTGGCATAAGAAAGAGGGGTAAAACATTACGAAGGATGGAAAATTCTGGGCTCTTAAACCGAAAGGCAAAGATTTTATGGCGGTTTGAAAACGCAAAATTACAAGGATTTGCATATATAGGAAGCCACGAGACGTGTCTAGAGAGCGAAGCGTCACCTTCCCTTACAAATGAATCCCCGTAATTTCTAACCAGTCTAACGTCCACAAAAGTCCCTCTTAAAGGATATAAACTTGAAACTTTGCATGTAAGCTTATTTGAAATGTTCTAGATCTTTCCATTTTTGATAACGTACGCGTGTCCAGTGACTAAATCATTGTGTTCTTGAAAACAAGTCATGTGACCCAATGTTGCAAAAGGTCTTTTCTAATTGTGCTACTTGAAATCTAAACAGGGACATCATTTTTTCTGCTAAAACTAGTCTTGTTCTTCTCGCGAAGTTCTTCGATTATAGCCGTGGCCATGTCGTAGGTTTTGTTGTTGTTCTTGCTGTTCGTGTTCTTATTTTAGCTGTTCTTGTTCTTCTTCTCCTTGGTCTTGTTGTTGTTGTTGTTTTTCCACTTGTTTTATTTCTTTTTCTTGTTGCGTCTCGGTCCATAAAGACGCAAAAAATAACTCGGAGGTTGCGTAAGCGATCCATAGGGCTTTAGTTGTGGTGCAGATTAGGCAAATGTATGCAAATGATGTCCTTCCACTATCTGAAAACTATTTGGAATAATTCCGCTGACCAGTAGATAGAGCTCCTGAAATAGAGAACATGTACCGCGTTTCTATCGAGTTATAGAAACACGAGTGGAAATTTGAGAGAACGGGAAATGCTGTTGGAACACGAGCCGCAGGCGAGTGTTTCCACAGCTTTTTCGAGTTCTCCCAAACTTTCACGAGTATTTCTATAACTCGATAGAAACACGGAGAATATGTTTTCTATTTTTTTAGAAAACAGCGCGACGAAAAAAGGGAAACAACTTGTTTACTTTGATAATCAAAATCAAAATTCTCTTTGCTCGCGCCATCATTACGTCAACAGCTCGTGCTAGATCAGTGTTTCTATCGAGTTTTAGTATAAATCCACTGGCCCTCTATCACGAATGCCCTTCTCTGATTGGCTACGCTACTCACTATCTATTCTGTGATAGATAGTGAGTAGCGTAGCAGTGTACCCTTGTTAACAAAATAACGGCCGCTTATTGGCGTTTTCGAAGTGTCCGTGAAGAGGATTTAGATAAAGTTTTGAACGACTAGTGGATTTATACTAAAACGATTTGATTATTCGCTCTCGATTTCTGCGCGATAGTTGACGAGGGCTGCGCCCTTGTCAACTGTCACGCGGTAGAAATCTCGAGCTCATAATCAAATTGTTTAAGGTGGCTGGTACCAGTTTTCTCGCGCGGGGAGTAGATCACCATCGTGCGTCACGCGTGAGTAACACGCACGAAAGGGGCGCGAGATTTAAAACCCGAAAGACCAAAACAAATATGGCGGCGCGCGCCTTTTTTCGCGCAAGGTCACTTTTGTACTGTTGGAGACGAAATTCGCATGTAAAGGAGGCTTTACCTGCTAGAACAACTTCAGTCAATTCTGTGTATTAAAGAAAAATTGTTTCGAGAATTCAATGTTTCCCAGATTTCAAACGCAACTCGATCGATCGTGACAGCCACCGGGAGCGTAGAATGGACTCGCAAAGTGGATGGAAATATGGAGAATGGACGGAGAATTTGTGTTAAAATCCTTCAGAGTAAGCCCAGGAGGTTGTCTTTAACGACACCTACAACTGTAAATGATGTTTTAGCAGCAAACAAAACAAAAAGCCCGTTCGGAGCACGCTCGCCCGCGCGGGCGGGCACACAAAGTAGTCAGCGGTAGTCAAAACAGCACATGAGCGACTGCTGATCGTAGAAAGTCTGGATTTTTGAATGCGTGTCTACGCGCGTGGGAATAACGGAACTCGCGAAGGCTTTTACATGAAAACAATCCCGGTAACCCCTTCTTTTTATTGTTTTAATATAATATCATTATTGAGAGAAAACGTCAGAAGAAAAAAAATTAAAAACTTCTACGGAAGGAAATTTGCACTTTGTGCAAATTGTTGTTTTTCCAAGTTTACAAGAAATCGGCTCCGTAAAATTATTTTAAAATTGTTGTGCATTTTCTTTTTTAGATGCCAAAAGCTATTGTTTTAAAAAAAATCGGGGTCACAGGGTTAATTTTTAGGTTATTAGTGACATAAACGAAAAATCAGGTCTGGAAAATCATTTTGGAATGCTGCCATGGTAACTGCTGACGACAAAATAACAGCTGTTTTAGGTCAAGTATAAATTATATAATGCAAACCTACAAAAATATTGCAGTGGCCCTGGTCTGCCTTTTGTTCTATTCTTACAAAGTTATGAGCCGTCAAAAACCTGAAAACTGGTACGAGCCACCTTCATTTGGTGAACATTCAACGAGACGAAGTCGAGGTGAATATTCACCAATGTTCACTGAGCCTGAGGCGAAGAATTGTTTTAGTATAATTTTCAGAGCTGAACAAAGAGGACTACAGCACAACGGACTAAAACATAAAAACACAAAGGAAATTGTTCGTTTGCATACACACATACAGCCGTAGTTTTAATAATACGTTTACATGTACATCGATTGCCAATCAATTTACTCATCGAGTTCGGCTATAAAACAAACAAGCGAAACACTACGAAAAATAAATTCATCCGGTACCTTTGTTTTATCGCTGTTGACTTCATTCACAGCTGTCATCATCGTCTAAAAATGAGTAGCTTTACTTTGAAGAAAAATAAATTTCGGTCAATCGATCTGATCTGCTGGCGATCAACGTCATTACTGCGTTTACAATTCTTAAATGTCTTGAATTCGAGTTCTTGAGAGGATTTTTGGTTCAAGGGCGACAGCAGTCATTTTGAAAATTCTCCATACTTTCAAATATCCTGGACTTGGACTGGACTTGTGATGTCTTCCGAACAAATGAAAAATTCATTCAGCAAATGACCGTCATGTTTACTTGCCAAGATGGCAGTGGTGATGAGCTTCGTAACCAGGCCTTGAAAATGTTATATTCACCGCCTGGAGTGGTGAATATATATATCTTATTAGCTGTTTTGGTGTGTAGTATTAACCTCTTACTAGCCGAGCGCGAGGGCCGTACTGGGGAATATTGGCCCGAGGTCGTGGCAGTACGGGCCGAGCGCAGCGAGGTCCGTAAAAAAACGACCGAGGGCCAATATTCCCCAGTACAGCTCGAGCTAGCTAGGTTAGTAAGTAGTTTATTATATGGCACTCGGGCCATGCTTGTTTTGAATTTGCCGGATTTCGAAAACAAAAAATACACAGCTTATGACCGTATGGCGAAATCCCGACCACGAAAGAACCAATCAGAACGCTCGGATTTACCTCAAGACTACCTTGCCATATAATAACGCTGTATATTTTTACGAGTTGTGTCGTATTTTAACGAGCCCGTAGGGCGAGTCAAAATACAAACAACGAGTAAAAATATACAGCGATACTACACACCAAAACAGCTAATAAGAGATTTATTATCCAACTGCTGTAGTAAATAAATTTATCAATGAAAGATGGAGAATGTGACAGTTTTGCGTGCGCGCGCCGGCCTTTACGGCAAACAGGTTTTCTGCTGTACAAATATGGCAAACAGGTTTTCTACTGTACAATATCGCCGTACATTTGTACTGTTATTTGGACGGTATTCGCTGCAGTCGTAATATGAGGAACCGCTCAACCAATCAGATTGCTGGAAACTCTTTGTTCAGCTATGAAATTATACTAATAGTCAATATTGCAGGCACATCTATCGTTCAAGGTCTATGACTGTGATTGTTGCTCTAAAAATGGAAAGTTGTTTAGTTTGATTTCTAGGTGTAGTTCATTTAACATTTCTATCACAATTCTAATCTTAAATTAACAGTTAACTGTGAATAAGACCAAATGTTGGCTTTTGTAATGCGCATTGGTAACGTTTTTGCTGAGAGAGGTGAAGTTGCTGGAAGCTGTTATGGTAACTTTCCGCTCCGAAGTTTAGTAAAGATTCTGGTTGACAAGAGGCAATCCGCTCTACATATCGATGGTAATACTACTGGAGGGTTGAGCTTCTGAAATTAAATTTCGGAAATCAAAGAGAACAGTTTCGTTGAGGTCACCGTAGCATTTGTCGAAAAGTCTCTAATAAAGAACACCGCGGTCTTGCGACCCTCTAAAAAGCTCATGATTACGCCAGATTATAAGTTTCAACCGCGGGCGTGGAATTGACCCTTTTGCTTAGTTTGTGTGTCAAGCCGCTGATAACTACAATAACAGCTATTCGATTGTAAGGAAAAAGTCCTCGTGGTTTTCCCTTTTTATTTGACCCAGCTTGGTTTAACCTTTTATTTGGCTGAAATACATGAAGGTACAAATTTCAGGTTTGGAACCAGTAATAATACGGTTTTTAAAATCACGCTATCTTGCTTTTTCACATAATCAACCTCAAATCGCATCTGATGACTTACAGTAATGGACCTTTTAACCAATGCCACACTTTTCTGATTTTTCATCAAAACAAAAACTAAGCCTCACTGCTCTATTTACATATTGTATCATGTTTTGAGGCTTGCTGTTATTTTAAGAAATTTCTTGGGCAGTGACAAAATTTTAAATGTTCGAATTAACAGCAGATTGCCCGAACCCTTTTCAGACTCTTAGTGACACCGATTAAATTGATTCGATCAACTCTTGAAATGTCTTTATTATCTCCTGTTAAAGGGATCATCCTTTCGCAGTGCAGCCTCTACATCTCAGGAGGGCATGGAAGAAGGATCAAGAGTGTCCATCAACCAACTATTGAGAGTTACTCTGTTAAGTAGTGAGTGGAGATCATCAAAGGGAGGCTTGTCGACGATCAGCAGAAAACTTGCAATAGAATTGGCTAAACACCATAATGTGGAAGTTTGTGTCTATCTTCCCGAGTGTAGCGAAGAAGATAAGAAAGTTGCTGGAAGTCACAGTGTTCAGCTCATTGAAGCGGAAAAACGTCCTGGATATGAGAAAATCGACTGGTTGGCCTCTTTGCCGAAAAATCATCTTCCTCACTGTGTAATTGGACATGGTCTTCACCTTGGTAAACAAATACCACTCATAAAGGAACATCATGATTGCAAGTGGATTCAAGTTGTCCACACAGATCCTGAAGAGCTTGGGAAGTACAAGAGTTATGAAGAAGCAATTTCCAAAGGAGAGCAAAAGCACCAAGCAGAAGTAAAACTCTGTGAGCTAGCTGATCAAGTTGTTGCTGTTGGACCCAAGCTGGCAGATGCTTACTCCCGTCACCTCCGTTTCAGTGGGAAAGATCAAGATGTTATAAATCTAACCCCAAGCATTTTCACGGAGTTTTGCAATGTTCAACAAGCCACTGAAGAAAGAAATACGTTTTGTGTTTTGGTATTTGGACGTGGTGATAATGAAGATTTCAAGTTGAAGGGATATGACATTGCTGTACAAGCAGTTGCTGAACTGGACGACACATCGTACCAACTCATGTTCGTTGGAGCACCAGCAGGAAAAGAGGATGAAGTGGCAACAAAATTACTCGAGTATGGTATCCGTCAAAGGCAGCTAACTGTTCGCCGCTTTAAGGAAAGTAGGGAAGAGCTGGCCAAGTTGTTCTGTTCGGTAGATCTCACAATCATGCCATCAAGGACTGAGGGCTTTGGCTTGACTGCTCTAGAAGCTCTATCTGCTGGTCTTCCTGTACTTGTGAGTGGTAACTCGGGACTTGGAGATGCTCTGGAGACGGTTCCTTCAGGTTCCTATCATGTAGTAGATTCAGAAGATACAAAAGAATGGGCTAAGGCTATCAAAAATGTCCGTCAAAAGGGCAGAGAGGTTCGACTTGAAGATGCCAACCTTCTTCGTGAAAAGTTTGCTGCGAAGTACAGCTGGGAGAAACAGTGTGGTTCTCTTGTGAAAAAGATGTGGCACCTAACTTTTGGTAAAATCAACGGCATTTTTATAATTTTTTTCTTTACTATCCTGTAGAGTATTAAGCTGAGTGGTTACCTCAGTTCACTTGTACATGTAGGTATCAAAATTAGTCAAAGATGTGAACTTTCACTCGATGGCTAAAATAACATGATATTTGCTGAAAGCTCTACAAATAGGCTGCCTCTTCGTTTTCTGTGTTTGATTTGTTAGCAAGGTGCATGTGTGTAGTAAACGTTTCTTCTTTTAGGTTCTGTAGAAGGCGGAGAAGGTCCTGCAAAAAAGGGTAAACAATGGTTACCTGGTGCTGCTACTCAATCTAGTCATCACCGCAAAGGTAATC